AGAAAAGAGAAACTCTAGAAGAAGAGCAGGGAAGCACTCTCCAGACAGAGGTAAGAGCCAGAGGTGGGAAGAAGAGGGAGGGAGGGAGGGAGGGAGAGGTGGTTGGCTGAGAATCGTAAGAAAAATCCTGTGAAGCACAGAAGGGCAGATCATCCAGGCCTTGTGGAAATGTTAAGGATTTGGGACTTGATCCCAAATGCAGCAGAAGGCCATAGGTGGGTTTTAGGTGGAAGTGGTATAATATGATCTGTGTTTCTTTCACAGATCAGTCTGTGTACTTTGTGAAGTACTGAGATGTGAATGTAATAAGAAATACATATTTGTATGTATTTCTTTGAGGGTGTAGCTCAGTGGTAGAGTGCATACTTAGAATGCATGAGCTCCTGGGTTCAATCCCCAGTACTTCCATTAAAAAGGCAATAATAAATAAATAAATGAATGAACCTAATTAGCTCCCCTCCCCAAAAACCAAACATTCATACATACATACAAAGAAATACATAATTTGGTCGACAGCCCAGGGTCTTGGCACAGAGCTCCTAAAACTGTTAGGAAATCCTGAGTGGCTAGAAGTGAGAGGAGTGTTTTTTTTATTTATAAGAAGTCCTTTTCAACCATACCTGGGTTTAAGCTAATGAAGGACTCTTCATAGGGCCCTGGATAGCTTCAGGATGGGGGCTGGAGGAACCCATCATGTGATTAGAGTATTGGAACTTTCAGCCCCATCCCTCTAGGGAGAGGAGAGGGACTAGAGAGAGAGTTTAATCTCCAATGGCCAAGGATTTAGCCAGTCATGCATACATAATAGAACCTCCATAAAAAGCCTAAACAATGAGGTTGGGAAAGTGTCTGGGTCAGTGAATACATCAGGGTGCTGGGAGCGCGGTGCACCTGAAGAGGGCAGGGAAGCCCCACGCCCCTTCCTACAGAACCCACCCTATACGTCCCTTCCACTTGGCTATTCCTGAGTGTCCTTAGAATCAGACGCACTGCCACTATTCCACCATGAGGTCCCTCTGGGTATTCTTTATAATAAGCCAGTAATAGTAAGTCAAGTGTTTGCCTGAGTTCTAACAAATTATCAAACCCCAGGCGGGGGTCATCGGCACCCCCATACAGCCAATTTGTCAGAAGTTCAGGAGGTCCAGACTTCCCATTGGTGTCTGAAGCGGGGGCAGTGTTGTGGGACTGGGCTCTAAACCTGTGGGATCTGACACTCACTCCAGACAGTGTCAGAATTTAATTGAATTGTAGCATACCTGGCTGATGTCCAAGAATCAGTTTTGGTGTGGAGAGACATATATATATATATATTTGGTTTCAGAAATATTTTGAGTACAGAAAAAGAGTTTTACTGTAAGAATGGATTCAGGGCAGGTAGGAATTAATGGAGGAATGACAGTGGCTGTAAAAATAAAAATAAAAAATGGACAATTTCAAACAATTAGATAGGAGATGAAATCAACAAAACTTGATGGTTGACTGGAAATGGCAAATGAGGAAAAGGGAAGCAACGAGGGTAAATCATAAGTTCTGACTTGGATAACTGTGCTTGGGGGCACCATTTACTGAGACGGTGAACACTGAACCAGCATCAGGTCATAGGGGCCAAGAAGAGGAAATTCAAGTGTCCAGGACATAGCAGGAAATACAAGGTACGCACTCAGAAGCACGGTCTGGACTACATTATAAGCTTGGGGGTGGTCAGCCCAGAGATGTGTATTCAGTATGTCCCCAGACCCCACCTCCTCTAACTGCAAAGTGAGTCCACATTTCCAAGAATATCTAAATCACTTCATCTTTTCCCAGGGCTCTCCCCAAGAAACACCCAAAAATTCGTAGGACTGCTGACACTGGCCCAGCAACCCCAAACCCCTATGTGTCTCTTGCTGCCACCACAGCGAGGGCAGAGGACTCAGACATGCCCCTCAAGGCAGGTCTCCACCACCACTGACCTCTCTGTGGCCAGACCCCCCCCCCGCCAGGCCACTTCAGCACCTTCCCCCTAGATGGCAGAAGCAGAGGGCCGTGTAGCCATTGATGGAAAAATTGCTCTCACTCCTGATTTCCTTAAGGAAAGGTTTTCCTTCGATGCATTCCTGGCTTCTTCAACTGGGAAGGTAAAGTGACTTACTCACTTGGAAATCTGGAAAGAGCTGGGGATGTAAGATATTCAACTATCTTCTCAGGAATGAGCTACCCACTGGGAGCACCAATTTGGCTGCTCCACCAGAGGCTGACTCTTACCCCAACACCCCAGTCCAGCATGGCTGTGACTGAGAGGGAACGTCTGTCTTTAGGATGAGCAAGCCCATTCTGAGTAACAGACCTAAAGTACATCATGTCTTTTGACAGTAAAAGGGGACACAGGGGGATTTTGGCCCATATGGTATCTAGTACACACCATTTATTGTTTGTTATCTCTCCACAACAAAAACTAGATGTGTACATCATTTTAAGTATAGATACACCATAATTTAACCAGTCTTCAATGAACAGCCATTCATCTTATTACCACTTTTCTGCTATTTTAAGTTTCACCTCAATTACTATCCTTGAACATATCATTTAATACAACTGTCTGCAGACTAAGAGCAGAGCTGCTGGGTCTAAAGACATATAACTGATTAAAGTGATGGGAAAGCTCCCCAGAAAATTTACATAATTTTGCATATAATTTCAGGAGCTTTGTAAGCATAGACACCAGATTAAGAACCTCTGCTTTCTATGCTCTTCCTAGGAACTTTCATCCTTCTTTGACTTCAACTATTATCTATGACTCCCAAATACATATATTAACATGTTGATATACATATATAAACATCTCCATTCAAATATTTCACTGACATCAAACTCAACATAACAAAAACTGAAATCATTTTGTCCTATGCCAAACCCATTCATCTCTTCATATTAATTTTCATTAAAACCACTCAACTGAGTCAGCCAAAAATCTGGTCAGCAACCATGACTTCCACCTCTCCTCTGCCCTTGATATCTTTCCATCTCCGTTTCAACAAATTTAGTTTTGGCCACCACACGTTCCCTGAATTACTCTAACAACCTCCTAAATAGTTTTCCTATCAGAGTTGTTATCCCCTCCAATCCATGTATAACACTGTAACCAGAGTGGTCTTTCTAAAATGCAAATCTGCTATCATTCCCTCATTTAAAACTCTTCAGTGGCTCCCACTGCTCTCAGAATAAAGTCCATACTCCTTAATATGGCTTACAAAGCCCTTTATCATCATCTACCCACTAATTTCTGCATGATGACCACTAAATCTGCCCCTTTCCCAAGTCCCTGTATTAGCAAACATTACTACTTATCATCTTGCTCAAGACAGAAACCTGACTCTCTCCTCTCCCTCACCCTCTCTATCTGATTAGTTACTACATCCTGTTTCTACCTCAGGGCCACCACCTTGGTCCAAATTACCCTCTTTCTCTCTCCTAGACTACTAAACTAGCCCTCCATCATTGAGGAGGAAGTAAAGCAGATGCTTCTCATGAATAGCTTGACCAGCCAGGCTTAGTAAAGAGCTCAATTTTGCACTGTAAAAATGTTTATGTAGAACATATGATAGGGGGAGGGTATAGCTCAGTGGTAAAGCACATGCTTAGAATGCACAAGGTGCTGGGTTCAATCTCCAGTACCTCCATTTAAAACAAACAAACTAACTAACCTAATTACTTGCCCCCCCAAAAAAGAAAAGAAATAGCTTTAAAAATATATATGATATATGCTTTTAAGAATCATGGAAACTAGAGTTTCCATGTAAACTACAAAACAAAATAAAATAAAATAAAAACAAGATCAAGACTTTGTGTATATTCCAAAGACTGAAAGCCAACAAATTGAGAAAACAAATATCATAATTTAATTAATTAGGCTTTAATTAAACAATGGTTCTATTTTATTACTCAAGGTAAATGCAATGAAGACGTTTAAGGGAACTGAGACTTTATCCTGCTTGAAAGCTAACAAATTAGCCTATAAACTGTTTGATGAATGCTGATGAAGACAAGGAGACTCCAGAGTCAGAGATGAAAGATTTTATTGCCCATAGCAACAGCAGTAGCTGGAGACAGCATTTTCTTGTTCTGGTTCCTCAAGCTCTTTTCCCACAGAGAGACACCAAGAAGGCATAGGTGGCATCTACACATAGAGTGGGTTTCATTACAGGCAAGAACCCCTGAGCTTGGAGAACCGACGTCGTTTTATACTGGACAGTAAGCTACCTCTGTCCTTTGTTTCAGAGGTGAACACTGAAGTTCAAAGCAAACCTATCTTTCACCCTAAAAGGAGACATTACATTTTTCAAGGCTGTTCCCTTTACAAACATCCTTGAAAAGACATCCTTGAAAAGTCTGGAACAAAGACAACCAGAACCACTATTCACAAGACATGCAGAAACGTGGGAGGTCCAGAGAACTCTCTCGCAACAATATCCACTTCCCACACACGTTAGTTTCTACACATAACTACGCTACTCCATCAGCTACTCATTAACCAACAGAGGCTAGAACCAAATCAACCTATCTAGCACAGCATTTAATTAAGTCAACTAGGATTCTGACAACAGAATGAAGCCACCCTATATTGATCTCAACCACATTTCCCAGTGTCCTAGAACCAACCGGCTTAACAAATCCCACAAAGTATCAGGGTCTACTTTGGAAAGCCATGAGGCTTTTTCTTTAAATTTCTGTATTGACCTTTCCACTTGGCCCAAGGCATTAATCCAGGCACAGCAAGATGTACTAGAGATTGCATAAAGTCCATCTTGGCACATGAGGAGGAAGTCTGGGACAATGCTCTCACCCATAAGAACCTTGGCTACTGAGCTGAATCCAACCTGAAATCCTTCCAGGGCCAAGGCAGTGTCATGATCACTTCAGCTAAAATCATGACATTTTTGAACCACCTTTGCTAACTGGATGACTCCTGTTACAGCAATAACTGCCCATAAGGTATGTCTGAATAATGAATCAGTTACCTTTTCTGGAGAGCTTCAGTTTGGAGAGATTTCTGCAGTCATCTGAGGGTCATGTGCTTTGTCAGTAGTGCTTCTAAGCACTTGCAGGTCTCTTAGGACTGCCGGAAGGGTGTTTTCAGGAGAGACAAGTTAACTCCTGGCTTCCACACAAGAAATAGTCCAGAGATCACACATGGTGTCCCTGGAAAAGAAAATGTTTTTATAATTGTTGGCCTCAAGTGGGAACTTGATCATTCAAAGGGCATTGGCTGACAGTTCCTCCAATGAGGCTTCCTGGCAGGCTAGTATGCCTTAGGGTTCCCAGTTCAGTTTAAATAACTGAATCTAGTCCTTGTTTTTGGAGGGACTACCTGAGGGCTGACAGTCCTGTCTGTCCACGCCACTAGAAAGGTGGCATTTCTCCAACCCCCAACAGCTATGGGAATGAAGACAAGCACATGTTAACCAGTGTTTTGTAAGGGAGATGCAGAAGCTAGGGCTCACCTCTACTTTATCTAATAGACTTCTTGGTAAGGTCAAAGGGAATGGCAATCAAAATCATGGTCAGAGCTGTCTGGAGGTAGGGGAAAGAAAAGGAGGCAGCACATTTAGCAATCAGTTCCATTTAAGGTGCTAACAACATTGGTGTTACCGGTGACTAGGTTCTTGTCCCATCGCAGAAAGAATTCAGAGACAAGATGTGGAGGTGAAAAAAGTAAAGTGGGGATTTATTAAGTGATAGATAGTACACTCTCAAGGGAAGAGGGGGCAGCCTCAGGTGAGCTTTGGCAAGCTGGTTACATAGGGTGTAAAAATAAGTGGGCGGAATATTCATTGGGGAGGGATGGGTTTGGGGTCTTATTTCCTGATTTTCATCCCAACTCCACCTTTCCAAAGGGAGAAGGGATTTTTGTCCTTATTTAGTCTGGATCGGAAGTGTCATGGTATCAGCGCATGATAGGTACTTCCAATCAGCGAGGCTAATTTTTTTGACATGAGGGCATAATGAGCAAAAGGTTACATTCAGACACTGGAGATTCCTGCCTTTTCTCACCTCTCTTTGTTGGCCTCTAGTCCACTTGTTATGCCAAAATGTGTGACCACTTGTCAGCCAGGAGTTTCCTGCTTTTCCTTCTCTGCCCAGGGACCCCTGTTGTTTACACAATGTATGGTTTCCTGAATTTGGCCTGTGTGCCTCCTTTTTGCCCAGTTTCTGTCATTTGGACTGCAGCTATCTGCCTGCTCTAACATTGGGAGAACCACACCAGGGCATTTTCCTTCCTGAGGAAGGCTCCAGGGTGGCTCTGAAAGACAAAAGATCATTAGAGTTCCTTCTTCCCTCTTCTAGGGTCTAAAGTGCTCTCACCTCAGGTGCTGGAGTTGTTTTTTCTCTCCATAACCACAAAATTAGTTTGTCCATTCCAGTACCTATAAGTTCACCTGCTTCCCAATCATTTCCACTTACACCCAGACCTGTCATTTGGAAGAATTAGGTGCAAAAGGTATAAGGCATTTTATAAAACTTACAGACACTCATTATGCCACCGACTTTGCCCTGCATGAACCACTGGGTGAGTCTCGAGGCAGTGTACTCAACCAAGTAGAGATTACCCTTATGATATAGGGCTATATCAATCCAATGAGAGAATCCAGGTGGCTGAGCCAGTTTGAAAGCCCTAGACCCCTTTTTGGCTGGGTGGCCAACCTACCAGCCTGGGGCTATCATTAGTCAACAGAAAAACATCATACCCAGGAATGATCAGGGAGGAATACCAATTTATAAAATAATAATAGATCAACCTGATCATTAACTAGGAAGTGGCTGAGAGGAGATGATCCCTTTCTGAGCACAGCCACACTCAGTGACCAAACTCCCTTATTTAGGTGTATGGACCAGGGAGAGATGAGGAAGCTAAAAGTCAAAAATAATACTTAAATTGATTTTTCAGCAGATTCACCAAAGGGGAAAGAGTGAGGAAGGGATAAATTAGGAGTTTGAGATTAAATCATACACACTACTGTATATAAATAGATAAACAACAAGGACCTACTGTATAGCACAGGGAACTATATTCAATGGCTTGTAATAACATATAATGGAAAAGAATCTGAAAAGAAAAAATATATATGTATGTACGTGTGTATATATACATATATAGAGAGAGAAAAAAACTGAATCTCTTTGCTGTCCACCTGAAACTAACATTGTAAATCCACAACACTTCAGTAAGAAATAAAACTAAATAAATAAATACATAAATACATAAATTCAAATGCTCAACAATACCAGATGCCTATGAATGCCAGGAAGCATGAAACATCCATCGAATACCCTGACAGTCAGCACACTGCTGAGCAGATTTGTGATCAAAAGCACACCACTGGCAGGCTGCAAACGGTCCAGGAAGCTGAAAACATGACACAAATCAGTCTCAAGGGCCACAACAGTGCAGCTAGAATCAGCTGACTAGGCTGGAACAGCAGTATTATAAGCTGAAAAGAGCAAGACAGACAGCCCCAAGAGGAGGTCAAAGGTCTGATGTATTCAATCTGCCAAGAGCAAGGAGGTGGGGGTGATGGCCCACACTATGCCACCCCTCATACCAAAATGCTTTTGGCAGGAGTCATGAGTCCAGCTTGCCGTGGCAGCCTCTGCATCTGGAACAGTCCTCTGCCCTTTGCACAGAGCCTAGGAGGATAGTTGTGTCACCATGCCCAGTACAAAGATGGACCAGGCAGTGATGGTGGCAATCTGGTGGCGAGGTCTTGATGTGAACAGTAGCTTCGTACCAGAGAACTGGCCCATATTATGAGCATCTACATGAGGGACCCAGACACTTTGATCAGTAGCTGTGATCTATCACCTTTTGCAGCCCCAAAGAGAAGTGTCTTTAACCTACCAATCACTTGTAGTTTTCCAAGTGACAGACCAAACTGTTAGACTACTGGCTACAGCCCAGGGGTCAGTAAAAAGGTAACAACTTGTATTAAGGGGAGTATTGGCCTGGGCTGCACAGCCCTGAGTTTTAACAGTGAATGGAACCAGCAGGCCCGTGTCTGGTTCTGCAGAGCTGACACTGAGACTGAACAGTAGCAGAAGCTCAGCGGAAGACATCAGGCTTAAGCTGAGCCAAACCACTAGTGAAGCAGACCTGGCACTCAGGGTAATCTCTGTGAGCTGAGGTTCTCATTGACCCAGCAGTTTTGCTTCAGGCAGCAGAACAAGAGATTAAGTATCCCCAGAGGGCCAGCTGCCACTGTCTCATGTAAAGTTGAGATGCTGCTGGAGTCAGGTCAGCTGCACGCAGGAATACGGCATTTCCACCTGACGATGAGGCGGCTTTGGCCCTCCCCATTGTGTTTGAGTCCAGTTGATTCACCCTGAAATGAGACTATCACGCCAGAGAGTCACAAGGCCTCCGTGGTTCAGTTCTGAGAACAGCCCTGTAGCAAGTTCCTAGCTGCTTTTCAAAAGGAGAGCCATATCAGGGTGGGAGGGGGCCCAGGAGCCCAAATATCCAAGGAGCACCTCAGGTGGAAGATGCCTCTTTTCGCCAGACTCTACTTGGTTAAATCATGAGTCCCAGGAACTTGTAGCTCAAAGGGGTCATTAGGGTTGTGGGGATCCAAAGGTACCAGTATTTCTCTCCGTCTGTGTCTTCCCAAACACAAGAAGCACCTCTGGCACTCACAAGCATTCAAAGCACAGACATGTAAACACCAATACCAATGACACCAACTGATGGAAACTGCAACAGTACACCCAGTAGGCCCAAAGGGCTCCACTCAACCGAGTTGCACCAATTTCCCTCCTCCACTGCGAAAACTGCCCAGATTCCACCAGTTGAATCCTGGTGTCCCTCCCCCAACAGGGCTGAGCAGGATAATGCCTTGGGTGACTCTATCCAACAGAGCCATAAAAGTTTGACTCTCTCCCCTCTACGAAGCTCCCCAGCATACTCAGGCAGGTGTGTGAGGTCTCACCCTTGATCATCTTTCTCCTTAATGAAACTGCAGTCAGGGTGGAAAAGAAGAGGGCACAGAGGGAGAGCAGCTCTGAGCCGATAAGCAGGGCTTTGCATTCAGTTTCAGTGGCCACTCACTCATGGCTCACCTGAATAAACATCGAATGTTTCAGACCACCCAAAGATCTGTGCTGAATAACATGTTCCTCACTGCTGTCACCATTTACTTCAGGCTGGGGTGGGAGGTTCGTTGGCTTAGCAGCCACAGCCACGTTGTCTTTAGAGCTGTCCCATTGTCGTAAGATTCCTTCTTTCACCTGCCCAGGCGAACATGACCAACCACTAAGGCACCATGTAGGCAGCTTGTTTCAATCCTGTTTCTCACTGCTCAGCCTCTAATGATCAATAAACAAGCCTCTAATGATTAATAAACCCTTGTTCCCCTACCCCACCCAATACTTGAGCAAGAGCATTTACTCCTGGATACCAGGGAGTTGTCTCACCTCTGAATCTGGCCTGTGGGGTCATTATCCTTCCTCTTCAAGGAGCTTCTTCTTCATGAAGACTTGTCTCTTCTTCACCACATCCTCACCACCAAAATGGCCAAGAACTGTGAAGGGTCTGAGACTCTACCTTCCTTGCAGGCCAATAAGTTAGTCTGACCCAGTTCTGTGGGTGCTAGCAGAAGACACAAAGGACTTAATTACTCACAGAAATGGTCAAAGTATCATTTTTTTTGTTCTGGTTCCCAAGCTCCCATCCCATAGGACAATGTGAAGATGGCCAGGTGATACCTGTACATGCAGAGGGGTGCATTACAGGAGAGGAAGCCTGAGCATAAGAAACCCAAATCTTTTATAGTGCCCCTTCAGAAGGAGACAGCCTTGATCTTTCAAGGCTCTAAGCAAACCTGCCCTTTGTTCTGGAGAGACATTATATCTTCTCTATTTTCTCTATTATACAAATACCCTTGAAAAATATTCCAGAAAAAAAGGCAGTCAGTATCTCTGCTCAGAAGACATACAGAAACATAAGAGATACATAGAGAATTGGCTAATAAATACCTTCCTGTAAACAGATAAAGTGAAATGGCCTCCCCATTTGTTACTTACTACCAAAGAGACCAGACACTTGCATCAGTGGGTGAGAATACCCTTCCCTGATTACTTCTCAGTGGACCTGCTCCTATTTCTCTCTCTGACTCTCCTCAAGATTCTCTGTAAGGCTAAACTTATCTTCCATCCTAACTCACAGGCCAGTGTTTTGTAACAATTATCAGCTACACAATAGCAATATTTCTGAGTAGAGGGCTAGGATAGGTGATCTGGATACCCATCTAAACTAGTGATTCTCGGCTTGTCCTTTCTTCAACTCACCAGAGATCCAGATATTAGAATCTACTTGTCAGTGGTTTGGGTGGGGGTGGGGAATGTCACCAGCAGAAAGCCAAATTTGAGAATTAATAGAACAAATTCAAGCTTAAATTCTCATATGCACTATTTCGCTTGAGATAGTATGAATACTATAATTACACCATAACCAGACATAACCATATCCAACTACTTGTAACTACTTCAAAACAACTTCAAATAATTATATATTATCCTCGCCATCCCTATCTAATAGTGATAATATAAACTATTCTTTAAAAATATCAAACTTTTATATATTACTTAGTATCTCTGGACTAGAAAACTCTTCGAAAGTCTATTCCTTGCAATTTGGGACCAAAAACACATTTTTTTAAAAAATAGCAAAACTTATTCTGGGAGGCATGTTAAAATATAATATGTCTAATTTTTATAATTAGTAATACTTTTATGTTGAGAGACATGTTAAGATATACTTACTGCTTATCTGTCCACTACAATCAATTCAGAAACATAAATATCAGATCCATAGTTAACCATCAAGGGAAAAAAAACACTGCTACATCAACTGATTTTTCCATCTTTGAATTTAATGAGTTTACGTCAAAAAATTAGGTAGTCATTTTACATTTAAGGAATAAAAATCTTAAAAAAAAATACAAAGAGTGAAAGGATTTTAACCAAGTTTTCATTTCTTTTTGCTATAGTTTTTAACAACAATTCATCTCATCATATTGCAATGTGCAAACGCATTTGCAGCACCCATTACAATCACAAAATTAATTTAAGGAAGAACATTGTTACTAACAGCCTTCAGAGGAAACTGGTTTAACCTTCTATTAAAAACTCTACGGTATTTAAGCATTGCATAATAATGCTACTTAACCACCATTTGTCACAAGAAATCATCACCAAAGTTTTCTGGAAATGAGTCCACACAAGAATTGAATATTTAAAAGGTGAGCTGTTCCTTATTTTAACTTTAGCAAGATCTTTCTTTTTCATTGTTAAGAAACGCTTTAGTAGTTTTAAAGCAAAAGCTGTTAAGAGTAGAGTCTAGATAGCTAAAACTGTACTCCTGAGTTCAAACCTACAGATAAATCTTTTGTAAATAGTTCTCAATAAAATATCCTCCCTCCCCAGCCCCCTGCCCCAAATCTTGAATTTTTTCTTACAAAACTTTGGTCAAGAGTAGAAATATACCCAGGCAGATGTGTATGCCATACAATAGCAAGGACGGTAAAGCCCAACTAATGACTTTGGGTTTTAGAAATAGAAGGCAATTAAAATGTACTCAAATTTACATTAAGAAAAGCTTTCACAGGGTAATATTGAAACAGTCACAAAGGTTAAGAAAATACTGATATCAAAGTACAAATGACTACAATGTTAAAATAGACAAAAATTACTATACAAGAGCCTCTTTCAAAATCAAAAATAAAGAACACAACACATGAGTCAGGATTGTTTTCCTGTTCTACTCATGAATTTTAGTCTTTATATTCATAGGGTTGATTATGTTGATATCTAGTAGAGTTTCTTATGACATCTGATGAAGTCTCATTCCAACTTCGGAGGGTGGTTCTTCCCTAAGGAGTGTCTTGATTCTGCTCACATCGTGGTCACTGTACAATTTCAAAGTAGTGCAGTATCGCCATGATGTGCTGAGGCATGAAGACATAGCCCGTGTACAGCGCCATCCCCATGATGGAAACCAGCATGGAGTCTGAGCTGCAGTTAAGGAAACTTCATTTCATTTGCTTTTTCTTAATTTCTTCAAAACTGAAACCCCAAATTTTTTCAACAACTATTTTATGTAGAAGTATCCATTCACTTGATGCTTTCTCATGCATATCAAGTATTTATAAGAAACTAGTAACTCTAATTATAATCACTAACTTTAACTACCCCTGAGCTCATTTTATCCTCACCATCACATTATGTGGTAGGTACTATTATTCCCCTTATTATATTTCAAAACATCAGGTTGCTTAAAATGATGCATAGAAAGAGATACTGTTCAAACTAAGAAACAGAAATGTATAGGAATGCGATTGTACAGTATTAATGACTGTAGTATTACTTTTGCAGTAATAGGAATGTCTGACCCAAGAATTTTAGAATTATTTAGACTAGAATGTGGCTAAAATATTAGCTTTAGAGCCAAAGATCAACCATATACTAATGACATAAACTGGTAGCACCTGCTACTATTAAACATTTATTGTTAATAATTTAATAATAATAATTTCATTTGCAACAACATCATATGAAAGTCATCTTAATAACCTAAACAAAAACCAGTCTGCACTGTGTTCCTTTCTCTGCATTCCAAAAGGCATTTAAACCACATATATGCATATCAACAAGGAGCCTTCCTCTTGGGCCACACAAAATACTGCTACCAAAAATCACATTAAATCTAAGGGCTTGTTGCTTTGCAGAATCATGCAGCCATGCTCAGAGGAAAAACTGCTTCCAAACTGGAATTGTGTTTTATTTATTCATTCATTCATTCATTCATTCATTCTCTCTCCCCTCCTCCCTCACCTCCTGTCTTTCATCCTTTCGGCTCTACATACTAGTGGTTTGATAATATCTGACATTCCTTTACTAGAAGATACGGTTTAAGTAAACAATGTGCTTACTACCAGCTAATATTTGTCTAACAGTCTAGTTGACAAACCTCTTTTATGTATTATCTTGCTTGACCCTTACAGTTTTCCTGTGAAAGGTTTATTGTGACAATGATTCATCAGAGACTGACAGAACACTGAGGGGCTTGTCCAGGGCCATACTTGTCTTCAGAGCCAGAGCTTAAGTGGGAGCTATCCAACTCAAACCCTAAATTCATTCTCGTCATCCAGCAAATATGGGTGAAAAGTCTCCCATGATCAATTTTTTTTAATTTACTTTACAACCTCCCTTAATCCAGTTCTCTTCTAAACAACCACTTTGCATTTACCACTTAAGCTCTTCAGAAAAAAAAAAAAGGTACATACTAGCTGCTGTATCACTGCTCAGCCCGCACCCACCCATCTGCCTTCTGCCCCGCCAGGCTCCCGCGTCACCGATACTGCCTGTCAATTCTGGTAGCCATCTGAATTGATGCTATTTTCACCCTTCCTCTTCACAATTCCTTCCCAATCAGAGCTGAGGTACTTCCCTAGGGCTCTCCTCCCCTCTCTCACATTATTTTTCTATTTCATTGGCTCTTTTTCCCTGTCTGCACTAATGTGAGAGATAATTAGAGCTAAATTTGTGCTTTTCTCCCAAACATCGACTCCATCCCTCCTGAGAGGAAAGCAGCCGTGCTCTCCCCATCTCCAGGCATAAGCCCTGATGGATCTGAACCAGTTAAGAGCTTCTCTTTGTAACAATGCCCACCCCCAAATCTGATCAACCAGCTCAAAGTTTAGGACTTCTGTCTGGAATTCAGGAACAGATTCTCTCTCCTTCTAGAAAATGCCATTTGCTGATGGAATCCTGGAATCAATGGAGTCACTTTGCCTCCATGAGAAAAGCAAAACTCAGAACAGAAGTTGACAGATGAAGGTGATGGAACAAAAAGATTCTCAGAAAAATGGAGCCAGAAGCCTGATCAAATGACCTGAAGCCCATCCTACTACTGGATTTTTCAGATACATAAGCCAATACATTCCCTTTACCCTTAAACCACCTTTAGACAATTTTTGTTATACTTGCATCTGAAAGGATTCTACACGGTAAAGTGGAGTTCCCAGGGATTTGCCTTGGGTCCTACAAACTCTTATAACTTACACAACCATTTTCATGTTGCTCCGACCACAGCTTGTGTACTGCAGACAAGTATTTCCCATGACACTGGACATTTTCATCCATGACCTTCTTAAATTCAAGAGCCAAAACTGGAATTCATTAACTTTCTCCAAAACCACTTCTTCCTATGAGTCTTACTTTTCCAATGATCTGAAAGTAGCTGATACACTATTTGATATAACTACAGATTAATTACATGCCTAGTCACCCAATCTAGAAACTGCTTTGATTCCTTCTCCCCAAATTTAAATGATTAAAGACGTCTCAGTTCTTTCGAACCCCTACAAATGACTCTTATCTCATGTTTCCCTACCCTAACCAATGATCAATGATTGAGATATTTATAATTCCATACCTAATCATGTAAAAACTCCCATTTTAGGCTCCTAGCCACTCTTTACTAGAGTGAGCCTTTTAAATGCATTAGGCTCCCCACTGCCTATGGGATAGCACCTATAGGAATTCTAAGCCAAGCATCCAGGACATTTCCAATCTAGCCCAAAGTACCTGTCTTAGGTTGGAGTGCAAGAAGTAGACAAGGATCAAGAGATCGGAACGAGGAGTCTTGTACAAGTTATTCTCAAGGGACTTTTAGCAGAAGGGGACGGAGTAGAACAGAGCAGAGTGGGTGGGGGGAAGCTAAGTAGGTGCAGGGGCTCAGCTCCCACAGGGCACCCTGCAGCATGCATTGAACCACATGCTGGCATTGCTTTGAGGCAGGAGGCCTGACCTTTTGTATCTCTTAAACTGTCATTCATTGGCTCCACGATGGGATGAGGAAAAACCACCTGCGCAAGACAGCTGCCTTGGCTGGGCAGCACTCGGGAGCGGAGGGCAGCTAAAGGCACTGGCAGACAGCATTCACAGCAGCGGGGGATACATACGCTGCTGGCAAATGGGTCAGGGTGGGGACCAAGGGCATCTACAGTTGACCCTTGAACAACAAGGGTTTGAATAGCAGTGGTCCACTTATGCGTGGATTTTTTTCATGAAGTACGTCCTACAGTACGATGTACGTGACCCGCAGTCGGTTGACTCTGCGGAGCCACAGATACACAGGGCCAACTGTAAAGTTATAATTGGATTTCCGACTATGCAGGGGTCAGCACCCATAACCCCTGCTTGTTCAAAGGTCACTGTACTGTGCTACTTTTTCATCATGCCTCCCCACACTCCAAGTCATCCCCCAACAAACACACATCCTACGCACGCCGCATTATGTGAGTCTCAGGAAACAACGTTCCATATTTTCATACTGCTCTGCCTTTGCTTATGGCTTAATGATATAATTTAGGATAATCGTGGTACAGTTTTCATTTTGTGAATGTCTAGTGTGTGCTTGGCATTGCGTTAGGCCCTTCAGCAAGTTCAAGTAACATTCCAAAATCAGAGTAAGCCATGGAGCCAGTTCCAAACCAAATCAGTCAAACTCCTAAAATCTGTGTTCTTAACCAGGGTACTGTGACACCTTCCTATATATGAAAAGTCCTATTCCTCCAAGTAAAACCTAATCATTCTTAGAGCTCAGTGAGTTATCCCCTCTTGTACGAGGCTTTCCCTAGCACTCATATTTTTTCCATTCTTACACCAACCTCCTGGCAGAATTACTCCCTAATGCTCATAAAGCTTTTTATTCATATCATACAGCACTCATCACCTGACATTATCTATTTGTAGATAAATTTATCTCATCCAGATTACCAACTCGTTGAACACAGAAACAATAGCTTATTATTTCTGTATCTTCAAGATCTAACATAAGATATGCTTAATAAATATTTGATGAATAAAGGAATCGCTCAAGAAACATTATTTGACTCTAGATTTACTGTGGTGCTTTCTACATATTCCACATATTACTGTGACTGACAAACTCTGTAGTGACTACCGAAAAGGAACACAAAATGTTTCTAAGCAACATCATGTTTTCAAAATGCTTGTTGTTTTTGTTTTTTTTTAATCAGCTTTTATGTAAGACTTTCAAGCAAATGAAATGGTATAGTAATAATCTTCAGGTCATTGGCTT